TTGTAGAAGTCCAGTCTTCCCGAGGAGAGGCTCCAACACTCCACTGGAGCAAAAAATATATATATATATATATATGAGTTGGGATGCACTGGAGAAGGTAAGAAGAACTTTGCTAGCACCGCCCCTCCTCCAAGGTGGCACAGTGCGGGGCTGAACTAGCAAGTGGCAACTTCTCCTATGGGGAAAGGGAGAGCAGTGAATATGTGCCTGGATTCCCCAGCTGTGCAGGACACTGCTGGGAAAAAACATTTCTCTCCCACAGCACCCAAAGTAGTGAGGTGTGACCTCCATGACTGGGGGGAGGGAGGAGATTAAGAAAGAGGCAGATAAGAATATAAGAGGGTATTAAAAGGATGTGGATCCTTATGACTGCAGTCAGGACTTTAGGAGGAAACCTGCCCATCAGCTGCTGGGAAAACTTCAAGCAAGGATCCCCCCACTTGGCCCAAAGGCATCCGACACCCCCTGAGTGTTAAACCCACACCACCCCTACTCTGCAGCCAGCTCCTTGTGCATGCTCCTGAGTGTGGCAGCAAAAGTGAGCTCTGGTAGACAAGGAGCTCATGCAGAAAACAGGCCAGGGTCTGTGGGCAAGGGAGAAACCACAAACTTGAGCTGTAGTGCCACCTTCTGGAAAACAAAAGAGGTTTCCAGTAGCCAGCCTGGTGAGTTGTAAGATCTAGAAAAGACACACAACTTAGTAATTCTGCCACAAAGAGGCAGCAAGAAGCATCGAGCTGGTGTACCCACACAAGGTCAGAGAAAGCCCCAGATACAAGCAGGACCAACAAAGAATATCTCCCACTTGAAGGCAACTAGAAAAGACTGGAGGTGACTGCTACTTCAAATGCAAAAACAGCAACACAAAACTCCAAGGAACATGAAGAATCAAGGAAACATGACATTACTGAAAAATCTCAATAATCCTCTAGAAACTGAACTCAAAGATGCAGAATTCTGTGATTTACCCAATAAAGAATTTGGAATAGCTGTTTTGGGGAAATTCAATGAGCTACAAGAAAACACAGAAAGACAATTCAATGAAATCAGGAAAACAACACATGAACAACATGAGAAATTTAACAAAGAGATAGAAATCATTAAAAAGAACCAAACAGAAATTCTGGAGCTGAAGAATTCAATGAATGAAATAAAAAATGCAATAGAGAGTATCAATATCAGAACAGACCAGACAGAAGATATAACAGTGAGTTAGAGGATAGGAAATTTGAAATAACTCTATCAGAAGAATAAAGAAAAAAGAATGAAAAAGAGTAAAGGAGCCTACATGATCTATATGATGCCACCAAAGGATCAAATATCAGAATCATTGAAGTTCTAGAAGAAGAAAGGTAGAAGGGGACAAGTAGTTTATTTAAAGAAATAATAGCTGAGAGCTTCCCAAACCTGGGGAGAGACTTGAACACCCAAGTTCACGAAGCTAATAGATCACCCCATCACTGCAATTGAAAACGACCTTTTCTAAGACACTCTACAGATGGTCCCCAACTTACAATGGTTCGACTTATGATTTTTCGACTTTATGATGGTGCAAAAACAATATGCATTCAGTAGAAACCAAACTTCGAATTTTTATCTTTTCCTGGGCTAGTGACAAGCAGCACAATACTCTCTCAGGATGCTTGACAGTGGCAGCAGTGGCTCCTAGTGAGCCACACGAACATGAGGGTAAAAAACTGATACACTTACAACCATTATGTACCCATAAAATCATTGTTTTTCACTTTCAGTACAGTACTCAATAAATTACATGAGATATTCAACACTTTATTATACAATAGGCTTTATGTTAGATGATTTTGCCTAACTGTAGGCTAATGTAAGTGTTCTGAGCACGTTTAAGGTAGGCTAGGTTAAGCTATGATGTTCTGTATGTTAGGCGTATTAAATGCATTTTTGACTTGATATTTTTCAACTTACAATGGGATTATCAGGATGTAACCCCATTGTAAGTCGAGGAAGATCTGTATAATGAAACCGTCAAAAATCAAAGTCAAAGAGAATCCTAAAAGCAGTAAGAGAAAAAAAGATAAAAGATTGTAACCTATACAGAATCTTGATTAGGCTATCAGCTATAGTAATCAAAACAGTATGGTACAGGAATAAAGACTAACATATACACCAACGGAACAGAATTGAGAACCCAGAACATGCATGCATATATGGTCAACTAATATTTGACAAGGAAGCCAAGAATACTCAGTGGGGAAAGGATAGTCTCTAATAAATGGTGTCAGGAAAACTGGATATTCACATAAAATTGAACTCTTATCTTATACCACTCACAAAAATTAACTCAAAATGGATTAAAGACTTAAACACAAGACCTAACACTGTAAAACCCCTAGAAGAAAACATAGGGAATAAGCTCCTTGACATTGGTCTTGGCAAAGATTTTCTGGATTATGATACCAAAAGCAGAAGCAACAAAAGCAAAAATCAACAAGTGGGACTACATCAAACTAAAATAATTGCAGACCACATAGTGAGTAAAAGATTAATAACCAAAATATACAAAGAACTCATACGACTCAATAACAACAAAAAAATCTGATCAAAAAATGAGTAGAGGAACTGAATAGACACTTTTCCAAAGAAGACATCCAAATGGCCAACAGGTACATAAAAAGATGCTCAACATCACTAATCAACAGGGAAATGCAAATCAAAACCACCATGAGATATCCCTTCATCTGGTAGAATGGCTATTATCAAGAAGACAAGGGGCCGGCCCCGTGGCTTGGTGGTTAAGTGCACACGCTCCACTACTGGCGGCCCGGGTTCTCCGGCCATGCTGAGGCGGCGTCCCACATACAGCAACTAGAAGGATGTGCAACTATGACATACAACTATCTACTGGGGCTTTGGGGGAAAAAAAAGGGAGGAGGATTGGCAATGGATGTTAGCTCAGGGCTGGTCTTCCTCACAAAAAAAAAAAAAAGGAAGACAAGAGACATACAGCAACTAGAAGGATGTGCAACTATGACATACAACTATCTACTGGGGTCTTGGGGGGTAAAGAAAAAAGGAGGAGGATTGGCAACAGACGTTAGCTCAGGGCCGGTCTTCCTCAGCAAAAAGAGGAGGATTGACATGGATGTTAGCTCAGGGCTGATCTTCCTCACAAAAAAAAAAAGAAGAAGAAGAAGACAAGAGATAACACCAGTTAGAGAGGATGTGGAGGAAAGGGAACCCTTGAGCACTGTTGGTGGAAATGTAAACTGGTATGGCCGTTATGGAAAACAGCATGGAGGTTCCTCAAAAAATTAAAAATAGAACTACTATATGATCCAGCAATCTCACTTCTAGGTATATATCCAAAAGAAATAAAAACAGAATATCAAAGAGACATCTGCACTTCCATGTTTATTGCAGCATTATTCACAATAGCCAAGACATGGAAACAACATAAGCGTCTGTCAATGGACGAAAAGATAAAGAAGATGCAGTGTGTCTATGTGTGTATATGTATATTCCATACATGGAATATTCCTCAGCCATGAGAAAAAAGGCAATCCTGCTATTTGCAACAACACAGATGGACCTTATGGGCATTATGCTAAGTGAAAACAAGTTAGATAAGAGACAAACAAATACTGTATGATATCACTTATATGTGGAATCTAAAACAGCCAAACTCATAGAAACAGACAGTAGAATGGTGGTTACCAGGGGCTGGGGGCTGGGGGAATAAGAGAGACACTGCACAAAGATGTTGCAACTAGAAGATCAATAAGTTATGGAGATTTAATACACTGCACAGTGATTATTGTCAATACTGTATTATATACCTCAAAGTTATTAAGAGACTAGATCTTAAATGTTTTCAGCACAAAAAAAGAAATAATAATTACGTGACTTGATAGAGGTGTTAACTAATACTGTGATGGTAATCAGGTGGTAATCATATTGCAATATAATAATGTATCAAATCAACGCACTGTACACCTTAAACTTGCATAATGTTACATGTCAATTATATCTCAATAAAAAAAGAAAAAAAAAACCCTAAAAGCCTAGTATATCTTTTGAATGGATAGAAAATCATTAAGGCAATATCAAAATTACCTAAAAGAGCTACTTAAATAGTTTCACCAGCACCACTGGATTAATAAATTTGCTTGCAAGGAAGTGATACACATTAGAAATCTATTCTACTATGTTGGCATGTCCAAATAATGAAAACCATAGAATTTCTGTGTTATAACCTGAAAGGGCCAACTATAAGGAAGTAAAGCAGAGAAAACACTTTAAACATGCAGCACCAATGAAGTTGAGGTTATAATTTCATTCTTTGTAGACAACTGGCAGCACAAGGCTTCTTGGCAGAATTTCTCACTGCCAATGAAAAACATTATTATCATCAGCGTTTGTTAGTTAGGTGGAAAGAAGTTCTACTGGAAAATCTTAGTGTCATGAAATTTCATCAAAATTGACCTTTTTCTGCTTCCCCAGCTCAGTTTCTTGCCATTAGTCACTTAGTTGTCTGGGGAAACAGGATACGGTCTCAATTCACTCAAATCATGAATAAAGCTCTGAGAAATAGTGTCCAATAAGCTTCTGCTCTTCAGACAAAACAGCCAAAATTTAGCAGGATTAAAAGCAGAAACTCCCTAGCATGAAGCGTAGTATTGGCCCTTATCATGTTGTGTAGCTTGGCATCCAAAATGATTCCCAAGGCAAAAGGAAAATTTGCAGGTAGATTTACAGAGATCATCTCAAATACCAACATAAAAAATTGTGAACTAAAATAATAGCAAAAATTCTTCTGCTTGTTGATCATTAATATCTGTCTAGCCAATACATTAATAGAAAATAGAATTATATGATTTTTAAAAAATCACACATGTATGTAAACTTTATAATTATTCCATATTTTGAAGAGTTATTAGGGCACAAATATAATCACAATCTAAAACTTCTATAGAAACACCAAGTACATCTTGCATTCAACTTAAATTAGTTTAAAATCATCTTACCTGTGTAAAAAGTATAAACTGAGCAAATTGCCAGGGAAGCATGAAAGCAACATTGGCAAGACAGAGTGCAATGAAATGCCGTCTACTATTGTTCGAGGTCCTTAATGGAGAGAATTGATATCAATAAGTTTTACCATAAAAGTCATCTATCACCAAACAGCAAGACTAATTGCAAAATGATGAAATCTAATTATCCCCTTACCTTGGATACAAGACAACAAAATATAGTTAACTTTTAAAAGCTCATTAAAAAGAAATTAAAATACTTGCATTATAAAAACAGTATAAAACAATCAAAATTAGAGCTTTAAATAAAATATTGTATCTAGTTTATCAGTAAATATTCTAAACATAAAAGTTTATTATCCTATAACTATGCATGACACTGGAAATTTAATATTTCAGCAAGAAGGTCAGAAAATAGAACATGAACTGACCCTTCGTACTGCAAGATATTTACCCCATATGAGCAGCAATAGCTTTTATATACCACCAGTTTCATGTTTCAAACAGCAATGAAGAAAATATAAGTGCTGGTGAAGTAATAAATGAACAACTATGAGAAAAATTTAAAGAAAATAATCTAAAACAATGACTTAGAAAGAATAATTATAGAATACAAACTATTGCACATTGAAGTTTTAATGTCCATTCTGCAATTATGAAAATTAGTAATCAACACTTTTTACTAAAGAAGACTTGAGCATCTTTTAGAATATGAAAAAAGAAATGCAAACATTTTGTGTAAATAATAAAACTGTAACTATTCTTTTTATAAGGTTATAATGGATTTTGATAAATCCTTGTACTATGTTACATAAATTTTCAAAAGCAAAACTTTATACATTCATATTGTTTAGTAATATTATCACAAAATATATTCATTAAGTACTCAGTTATCTTATATTTATCAAACAAAAATTACTTTTGGCTAACACATGCACTCAGGGATACCATCTTAAATGGTACAGAGTACAGCACATGTACTCAGGGATACCATCTTAAATGTTTAATTAACACATTTTATTCCATGAAACCCCTGACTGGTCAGACTAATATTACTTATAAAAATAAAAAATGAAAAATAAACCATCTCTCTAGGAATTTAACTGGAATGAGTGGGAACAAACAGGCAGCTTCTTCCACCATAATCTTTGAAAGAGGGTAACATACAGAGTAAAGACACAGAAATCTGGATGGGGAACAGATTCCCAAGTCCAAATTCAATCCAAAAAAAAACTTGTCATGTAGGTAACAAATCAGGAGTTAGTCTGCCCCTTTCTCAAGGTTGGTAGCCACCCAGTATGCCACTATTTACCTTCTTCAAGCTAACATATAAGAGCCTTAAATATCTCCATGGCAGTGTGCTAAGCGCTCTGTGGTTAAAGAGATAAATATGGCATGGTCCCTGTTTCAACTGGAATTTTAATACACTAAGTGTATATGCAGACAATTGTGTGTGGTTGACTAACAAATTTACAGTTTTAAGAGAGAAAGAAGACATGTACACAAATGATTTTCATACAGGCAGAATCTGATGGGTGCTAGTAAGTGAAGGACGAGGCTCCCTGGGAGTTTAGAGAAGAGCTACCACTATTTCACACAGTGAGAGATCTCACTAACACTCTATGAAACTTATTTCCATCATAAAGTTGTTTACAGTATTCTGCTATTTATGTTTTTGTTGTTTCTCAGATCTCTTAAATTTCTAAAATGCTTATAAAATCCCAACAACAAAAAAATGTGTCCAAGAAAAACAGTTCAGATGAAACTCTGGTTGAACTGCTAGAAACATCAATAGTTCAGAAATAGTCATAAATATATGAATATATATACTCCTTATCTATCTAATCTAGCATTTCCCAAATTCATTTGTGCATAGAACACTTCTTTCATAGAACATACATTAACGCTCCATCAAAATCACAGATTGGAAAACAATAAGTCAGAGAACATAAGCTTTGAGAAAGAAAAGTATCAGTTTCTCAAAAACTTTAGAACTGTTACCAAATATATATGAACACATACATTCTGATTTATTAAAATATAATGTGCTTATCTAAAATCTGTAGCCTAGACTCTTAAGGGGAAAGCAATTTTTACATAGTAATTTTAGATTATTTTCTTAACTGGATACTCTATTTTTAAAGTAACTGAAAAAAAAAAGATAGTGAGCTTAAATTTGGTAATTATAACTTAATAGACTGAAGTATATTTTAAGAAAATTAACTTATAATTTATTTAGACTTGTTTTATAAATAAAAATCACCTGAGAATCAAAGTTAAAATGTACATCTGAAGTACAAGAAATGGATAAGAAAAACTTTCCCGGAGAGGTGGTGTCCACATCACACGAGTAGCCTGAAATCAATAAAATGCTTACTTTACGTTACGTTCCATTGCAAAAAACATTATTAATCTAAAAATCATGAGTGGGATGATTTTAATAATTTTAATACTAGGCTTATTCATTTCTGAATACCTGGTATAGCTTCTCCGTTTTTTGAGCTCTTTTAACAGGCACATAACCATTAGGTAGAGAGCCATTAATTAGCAAGTCCAGAAACAAGAGAAAGATATATCAGGTCAAGCATAACTAAACCCAAAGGACAAATAAGATGGCAGGTACAGGAGCAGTGAGGATTCTGGGACTGAAAAACCAGATCTACATTCCAGCTCTACAGTGAGGACCCTGGCATCCCAGGGCTTTGGGATATATATATGCCCAGAAAAATATCTAGACAAATGTCACCTAGGGCACTCACAAACACCAAGAGAGCTTGTACATAAGTTTAATGGGTAGAGACACGTATTACAAGTAATTAAGACTGTCTCTGAATTTGTGAAATACACCTTTAAAAGAGTTAACTGCAAATTTCTAAAAACAACTAGAAGTGTTTGGGAATCACTGATATGATACACATAATAAAGGTATTAAATTTTTGTATAGACTCAAAAACTATTTCTAAAACAGTGGGTGAAATAATATAAAAGTTTTGTACCAAGCATTCTGAAATTCTAGAGAGAATATAAACACTTATAACGTTGCATTTGTCTTAAACTTATTGCTCCTCTTCTAAGGAACCAAAATTGTAAACCTTGGAAGATAAATTATGGTATGTATGAGAAAGTCAACTCATAATGCTACTCACCTGGCATAGTCAAAGAAAAGAACTTGTCTTTACATTAACACGTTGGTGAATGACAATGCATTTGTTTGCTTTAAGTTAATATATTTAAGATATTTATGTATTAATTTTTATGGTTCCCCTAACTCATTTTTAAAAATTAACCAAGTATCTACCTTTCCCAATAGTAATAGATAAAGACTTCTACCCTCTATAACCTGTGCCATAACGTATTACATATTTTGTCTCCAAAAGCTAGTCAAATTCTCTCACTTTTCACTGCCATATTCTCAGCATCTAACAGAGTTTGGCACTGTTATATACTCAACATTTTGTTGAATGAATCTATTGTATTCTAAAAAAGTTTCTATGAGCTCTTTTTAGGTGGATCATGTCCCATTGGGCTGGATTAGTAAGTTAATTTATATTCGGAATTCAGCATTTTGTGTCATTGAAAAGGCAGCGTGATGTAATAGAAAGAAACAAGGTTTTAGAGCCAGACAGATGTAGAATGGGAAAGCCAGCTTCATCATGTAGCAAATGTGGAATCTTGGATAAGTAACTTCTCTAAATTTCAATTTCATATCTTCTACTGTGAGGATAACAACCACTTCCCAAAAAAGTTTGATAGGAGTAAATGAGATAATGTATATGAAGTGCCTGAACTCAAGGAGTAGAGTCTTTCCTTTTTCTACAAAATATATGTATATGTATATATATACTAAAAACTAGGCAAGATATTTCATGTCATGAATTCTAATTATGTAAAAATTATAAATAAACAGGATTAAAATATCAGTTTACAACACAAGGTTCTTTAAAGTACTGCAAAATCCTAAGTAATATACAATTATATATTGTTTTGATGAATATATTTCCTTGTTCCTATACAGCCCCTTCTATTTCTTAAAAATTATTTTCTAGAAAACAAACCTCTCCATGGTTGAAAAAGTAGCATAATACTGTAATTAGACCTCCAAGTTGAGTCCCACTGTAAAATAAAAAAGGGTATACATTCATAATTCATACAAAATATAATGAGTTTTTCACAAAATCATCTCTCAGAATTTAAAATCATATTTAAAATGTCATAGTACTCAACCACATAAAATAAAAGTAAAAATTTCATGAGGCCATCTGGGTGGCATAGTGGTTGAGTTCGGCACGCTCCACTTTGGCAGCCCAGGTTCGCGGGCTCAGATCCCTTGCGTGAACCTACTTCAGCCGTGCTGTGGTGGCAACTCACATACAAAATAGAGGAAGACTAGCATAGATGTTAGCTCAGGGCTTGTCTTCCTGAAGCAAAAAAGGAGGAAGATTGGCAACAGATGTTAGCTCAGGGCGAATCTTTGAAAAAAAAAAATTCAAAAGTATCCACGTAGTTGATGTTTTAATCTCGAATGTACAAGCATACAAAGTGTACATATCAAGTAATCTGAATTTTATCATCTATTATATTTAAAATATTTTCTAAATAAGATGTGAACATAAAATAATTTTTAACAAACACACTTCAGAGTCTATCTTGCATTCTTTGAATATTCTGAATGGAGACAAATTTTTGTTTTTTGAAATGAGATTTCAGTGACTAAGAGACAAAGAGTCTAACAGTGTCACTGAGCAGTAACTTTGAACTGCCTAAACTACTGCAAACATTCTTTTGTTGAGTCCCAAAGAAACAACAATGTAGAAGACAAAAGTCATATCAAGGAGGGCTGATAATCCTCAAAGATTAAGAACCACTTAAAGTTGTTCATCACTGTATCCACAGCTTCACACTTGGAAGACAGTAAATATTGGTTGATTGACTGAAGAAACAAAAGAAATGAGTTTAAAAAGCCAAGCAGGGGAAAGCTAATGGGAAGTGATTTACCATGTATAGAATTTCACAAAAGGAAATTCAAAGGATACACTTTGAAAAGGAAGAAAGTGAGAGAAGTAAAGTGTGAGAAGCAAGAACAAATGCTGCATATAGAAACTAGGAACATGTGGCTAAATCTGAGCAAGATTTGACAATATAAACAGTAACAATAATGACTGCTGTGGAGGGTAACAGAGTTTTGAACTGTGGTGATAACTGTAAGATGTGAGGGGCTGTTTTGAAGCAAAGTCTTCTAAAATTCCTTGTATTGATTAGAAGAAGAGGAAAGATATCAATTAATTTTAGACTTGATCAAGTTAGATATGGATGTCAACATTTTATCATTTACCACCAAAAAAACAGAAATGGAATATCTACCTTCCAAGTCAGTGCCAGTGGGGGAGGGTGACCAGGGATAGAAATACAAAATTTCTCCCTGATTTCCTATTTCTTTTGTTTTTCATATGCCATAGTTTCCAATCTCCTCATGGTCTTGGTGACACTTTTATGGCCAACACGTTTTATCTACATATTCTCCTTAAAGCCTGGAGCCTAGTAATGTATTTGATATTCCAGAAATTTGTAACCAATTTAGAGAAGACTATCACCTCTCGGGTAGCTCTCTGAATGAAAAATATTAATTTTAAAAAAGATTTAGTCCTGTGTAACATTTTCCGTATTAAAAAAAGCATAAGAAATACGAACCACTTTCAAGAATAGAACATTTTAAAGCCTGCCAACATAATCTCACAGTAATCCTTTGCCCTCAAAATACTGTGATGAGTTCATATAAATGTTTTTTTCCTATACAGCATACATATAGAAAAAAGCGTCAAAATTTCTACATAGTTTATAGTAAACAATTATAAATTGAACATCCTTGTAACTGCCATACATCATTGAAATAGAAAATTGGTCGCACCCTTAGTCCCCACTTGCCACCTCGAGAGAGCCACTATCCTATCAATATAAACACTTCTATATACATATCATACTATCATTTACTTTAATCTGTTTTTAAACTTTATACAAATGGAAGTATGCAGTATTTTTTTTGTGTGCCTGCCTTCACTCATTCAACATTGTACTTGTAAGATTCATCCATGGTGATGTGTGTAGCTGTAGCTCATTCATTCTCATTGTTGTATAGTATTCCACTATATCAATAAACTACAATATGTACATTTCTCTGTTGATGGACATTTGAGTTGTTTCCACTTTGGAGCTATTACAAACAATGCTGCTGTATTCTTGTACATATTTCCTGGTGTACATGTGCAAGAGTTTCTTAAGCATATATACTTTAAATTGGAATTGCTGAGTTATAAGTTATCTACATCTTCAACTTTACTAGATAATGCACGCCATTTTTCCAAAATAGTAGTACTAAAGTTTCTTTTGCTAATCTAGTAGATGTGAAATAGTATCTCATTGTGATTTAAATTTGTATTTTCCTGATAAGTAATAATGGTGTTCAACTTCACATATGTTCATTGGTAATTTGGAATTCTTCTTCTGGGAAATGTCTGCTCATAAATATTTTGCCCATTTTTCTATTGGGCTGTGTTCCTAGTCTTTGCCTAGCCCCTAGAATATACACTTCAGGAGGACAAAGATTGTTTTGTATTCCCAGCACCTAGAATAGTGCTCCTGGTCACAGTAAGCATTCAATAAATATTTGTCAAATTAATGAATGTGATGTCTGGATACTATGTTGGGTATATGCTTTGCAGTAGCTTTTCCCAGTTTGTGGCTTATCTTTTCATTCTGTGTCTTGAGGAACTTAAATTCTTTTCATCAAATTTATTAGTTTTTTTCTTTATGGCTGGACTTTTGTACCCTGCTTAAGAAATCCTTTCTTAGCCCAAGTTACTGATGATCTTCTCTTATATAACATTCTAAACATTTTATAATTTTGTCTTTCATATTTGAGCTTTTAATCCAACTACAATTTATTTTTCATACAGCTCCAACTTCTCTTTGTTCCATATGATCTCCCAATTATTCCAGCACCATTTATTGAGAAGCCTATCCTTACCCACTGATCTGCAATATCTGCTCTGTCATACATCAAGTGTCTTTAAATGCACATTTCTGCTTCTGGGCTCTACCTTATTCCAATGATCTATTTGTTGATCTGTATGCCAATATCACATTGTCTTATTTACATTACCCTTATAATACAGAAATGATTAATATCAAGCAGGTCCTTCTATCTTCTTCAAGAATATCTCAACGATTTTAGGCCCTTTGCATTTCTCAATAATTTTAAAATCAGCTCATCAAGGTCAACAAAGTTGGTAGTGCACTGAATCTATAAATCAATTAGGATAACTCTCATCTTTTTAATATCGAGTCTTTCAATCCATGAACACGGTATGTCCCTCTACTTATTTATGTCTTCCTAAATGTCTCTCAATAAAGTTTTACAATTTTCCCATAGAGGTCATATATATTTTTCGATAGATTTACTCTTAAGAACTTCATGCTTTCAATGCTATTCTAAATGGAATCTTTCTAAAATTTCATTTTCTGCTTGATGCTAAAGTATAGATTTACAATGTCTGTGTATTAATTTTATATCCAGTAACAATATATATTTTCTTATTATTTTAATACTTTACTCACAGATCTTTTTGAATTTTCTACATAAAATCATGTGATCTGCCTACAAGGACACTTGTTTCTTTTTTCCAAGTTTTCCAGTCCTTATACTTACTATACTACTACTGTTTCTTGACTTACTGTGCTGGATAGGACAACTGGTACAATGTTGAATATGTCACAATTTTCCATTGATTCTATGCTAGTATTTACTTTTTTTTGAGGAAGATTCACCCTGAGCTAACATCTGTTGCCAATCTTCCTCTTTTTGCTTGAGGAAGCTTCACCCTGAGCTAACATTTGTGCCTATCTTCCTCCATTTTGCATGTGGGTCACTGCCACAGCATGGCTGAACGAGTGGTGTAGGTCTGTGCCTGGGATCCAAACTCGTGAACCTGGGCCACTGAAGCGGAACACGCTGAACTTAACCACTACACCATGGGACCAGCCCCTCTATGCTAGTATTTTTATACTGAAAAGTTTCTAAAGCAAGGGGTGTATATATATTAATCTCTATATAGACATAAACTCTATGAAAACTCAATATTCTTGTTGAAAGATTAAATCTAGATTTTTAATGTAAATGTTGTACAGTTCAAGAATAACATTGTAAAGAAAGCTGATGGTTCAGTTAGGAACATATTCTGCTCTAAGAAACAGAAAACCTGACAAAAGTGCCTTAAATAATATGGATGTTTATTATACCATTCAACAAGAAAATGAAAGATAAGTGTCTATTGGCATTGGTTCAGCAGCAGAAGGATGTTAGGGCAGACATATGTGCTATGTTTACGGCCTCATGGTTGCAATATGACTGCAGCAGCTCCAGGTATCACATTCAAGTAAAAGCAGGAAGAAACAGAGAAGGAGAAACTGAATCTATTCTTTTACGAGAAAGGCAAGTGCTTTCCTAAGTGTAACCAAGGCTGACCTCACCTTATTTTTCACTGAAAAAGCTAGCTCATATGGCCATCCCAAGGTGCAATGGAGAGTGGGAAGCAGAATATATGATTGTCATAGTTAACTTCAACTTTCACCTGAGACCAGGCACACTGCTACCCCAAACCAAATTGTGGTACTGTTATCAAGAAAGATAGGCTATCAACTATAAGTGTCTGCCACACATGATACACATTTTCTTTTACTGCTTTCTTAATTACACACGTACAGAGACTAAAATTAGAATAATCCGCTACTAATGCCAACCAAAGATCTCCTCTAAGGTTACAATAATTTGACACATGACCTGGAAGTATTTTCATTAAAAACTTCGTTAAGGAATCTTAATTAGGTAAAAAAATATCTCCACAGGATGAAAGGGAGGCTTCTAAGATATTATTTTAGTGACAGTTCTAGTTTCTGGTTGCATGATATTGGCTAAGTTTCTGAAAAAATAAATCTACGAACTTTCCTACTATTAATCAATTAATCTCATTAATTACCCTTTTCATTAACTCAACAAATGTCAGCCCGTCCTTATAAGCCCATTGAAAGATCTTTTAATACAGTAGCCTTACCTCAGGTATGCACCATATATGAAGAACAATCCCATCATTATTCCATTTAAAATAAAAATCACATCAACATAAAAGTAAGCAGGGTCTCCAAATCCTTAAAAAAGACACAGATTATTCAGTATTTAATGAATAAATGACTATGAAGCAATTGGGCATAATTATCTCAGTGCTTTGTAATCAAAAGCTCATGAATCTGTCGAAAGCATTTGCTTTTCAGATTGCTGCTCTATTTAATAGTTATATTAGTACTTCCTGCTTACATGAGATGTTATTAATTACATTTATACTTTATTGTAGTTATATTTATACTTTAGCCTTATGAAGTATTATTATACTGTAATGATTAGTTGATGCTTCACTTTATTTAGGGAAGCTGTTATTGTTCAGTATCTAGAACTGTCTGCAGAGTCACTTGAATTACAAGAGAAAATCCACTGCACTATTTTCATCTTTTGCTAGGCTCTAGGATAGGTAAGATATGGCTCTTGAGCTCAAGAAGCAGCTTTAGTCAATATGAGATAATCTAGTTATTTGATCCATTATTATGTATAACCAGAACCTTAATACTTAATATATTCCATGTATAAGACTATATATATATATATAAACACACACACCCTCTACTAGGTGCTTTACCATCATCATCTCACATAATTCTAACAAATCTATGAGATTAGTTGGTATGAAAATACTTTTTTTTAATGACTGAGAAAATAAAAAACTTAGGTAACTTGCCAAAAGTTATTTAGCTGTTACTGGTGGACCCAGGATCTGAAGGCTGGCCTTTCTGATTCCTTCTACTTCTCTAACTGTTCCTTTTCAGTCTGTCCTAATAATTTCCTTTACACACCCCTCTTCAGTGTTGGACCACCGTAGGCTCTGTCATACACCCTCTCCTTTTCTCGGTCTGCATATTCTCCTTAAGGAAATTCTCCCACTTCCATGGCTCCAATGATCACCTATACACAGATGACTCCAAGTCTATATTCATCCCAGAACTCTTCTTATTCCTGTATGTGTATGTGCAAGTAGCCACTTGACATCTCCACTTTCAGGTCTCTCAGGTACTTCAAACTAATGTAGCAATTCAGACCTGCTACTTTTAAAATGTTTTTTACCATTCAAAGGGGTTCAATTACTTAAGCCAGAAACCAGTGTTAGGTAACTTCATTCTCCTTCCCCTCACCCATCAAACAATTACCAAATCTTGTCAATTCTGCTTTCAAAATAACTCAAATCCAGGCACTTCCCAGTTGTCTTTCCTGGAATTACTTGCTGAGAGTGCAAGAGTCTCCTAACTGGCCTCACTGACCTCACTTTTGCCCTTTACTAGTATCTTTTCCATTTAACTGCCAAAATAATGTTTTTAAAATGCAAATTTATTAAAATTCTTCGATGAATAAAGTACAAAATCCTTAACCAGAAAATGGCCCTTCATTATGTGACCTTTGCTTACATTCTCAGCATCATTTCACACCATTTTTTCTTCTCTCTCTCTCTGCTCCAGGAAATCTAGCCTTCTTTCAGTTCTCTCTTGCCTCAGAACTGTTGACTATGCTAGGCCCTATTCTTAAAACACTTCTCCTCCCTTACTCCTAACCTCAGCAACTTTATTTTATTTCTAGTATCCATGATGGTTGTAACCACTAACACTCCTTTTATATACAAACTCTATGAGAGTAAAGCCCCATGTCTACCTGGTTCATCTTGGGGTCCCAAGCACTAACACTAACCTATCACTTAGTGGCAACTTTATAAACAGCATATATGTACATACATAAGGTGATTTTTTTTCCATCCCTCAGAAAAGGTTATACTTTCTAAACTGATTGAGTCCTTACAAAGTCTCTCACTTCATGACACATTTTCTCGATTCTTTTACTTTGCACAAAAAAAGGTCTAATTGCCTCTCAAATATCGTCTATCAATGCTATTTTAGATGTTATAAAAATCACGTGAGGGAATCAGTAAACACGTAAGGGAAATACAGAAATACAGATTTAGTACATATTCTGAGAGATGAATGTTATTGAAATAAGTCAATAAAAATATATTTATAAAATATAGTAAGCAGTCATGTTGTGGAGAATATGAAGAAATAAAGAAAAAAATGACTGTGTAAATGTTATGCAAATAGATATATGTGACTTCAAATAAGAGTTTCAAAGGACAGCTTTATACTTAAATTGTAAAAGTGCTAAATTGCAAACATCTTAAACAGAAGTGACAATTATAGATCCTGGAAAACTGTTAGATGATTCCAAAAGTGGTTCTTTGACAACGATACCGATGTATAGGATGTAGATGAAGAGTTTGATTACAGCTGTTCATGGACTGTGAGAGTATATAAAAAAGCAGTATTTCTAAATCAATCTATTATTGTATATCTGATTTTTAAATATGTGTGCATAACTAAATTTTTATGTTAACTATTACAGGAACATGTGTGACTAATCTACATCCCTCAAATTTATATATTCAAGCTACCTTAAAACTTTTTTTTATATCTTCTTATTCTGAAATGGAAGAATGATATTATCAGGATTGCCTTACACTGAGGTATACCAATATTCAAATTAAATTCCAAATTAATACTCGTATTAATAAGTACATAGCCTTCTCAGAAAATTACTTTAAAGGGTAAATACCCTTTTAGGTGAATCAGTTCTAGATGGTTTTAAAGAAAAAAAATCAGTCATAGCAGTTTACAATAATTCTTAAAATGAGTCATAACATTATAAAATGTTTATGTAAACATTAATGACAACACAGCAGCATTTAGGAAGAAACATGCCTTCACAGCTTTGAACTTCATTTACCGGTCCTAATCTGGTGACATTCCAGCAGGTTTTAGTTTCTAGCCCAATTAAATTCATTAGTCCCACAACTGTGCGATACCAGAAGGCTATTATTACCTACAAAAGATACAAAAAGAGATACTGGAGGAAAATATATTATCTTCATAATAATTTTTCCAAAATACCATTTTACAATGGTTGCCTTTGACATTATAAAGTTTGACAAATTTATTTAAATCATTTCATTTGGAAAATAGTCATTTAAAAATTATACAGACACACACACATTATAAACTAAAGTGTATTACTGAGTAATGTGCATCTACAAAAATTTATGTTGTGATCAACATCTCTGTAATATACTCTTGTAATCAACTCTGTAGTATAAATAATAGTAGCTCTAAAATAGTAGCAAAGTATATAATTAAGGGGCCAGCCCCATGGTCTAGTGGTTTGGCGTGCTCTGATTTGGCAGCCCAGGTTCGGTTCCCAGGTGCAGACCTACACCACTCGTCAGTGGCCATGCTGTGGCGGCGACCCACATACAAAACAGAGGAAGACCGGCACAGATGTTAGCTCAGGGCAAATCTTCCTCAAGCCAAAAAAAAAAAAAGAGGAAGATTGGCAACAGATGTTAACTCAGGGAAAATCTTCCTCAAAAAACAAATATATATATAATTAAAATATGATTATTAATAGCAAAATACAAAGATTTACAGAAATATTTCATAACATTTCATTTAGGTCCTTGAATTTCTTTTATTCATAGTCTACAAAATATAAAACCAACTGCATATGGAATAATAGTTCCTGTGCCCATTAAAACTTTCACCAAGCAGATTTTAATTAACCAATTCTTCCCATTCTGCAATCCACTTTAAAAAGTTTAAAGACAAGGAAAAGAACAACAACAAAAATCACAAACAAAAAACAAAATGCTCATGCCTGGGAGATTTTTTTTAAAATAATTTTATAGATTTGGAAAAACTAATGCAAGATCATTGGGGGATAAAAGTAAAAAAATAAGAGGTCAAAGTGAAAGTAAAAACCACCTAGAGATAACTACTTTTAATATTTTGGTGATCATCCTTCCAATCTCACCCTAGGCATATGAAAACACACAGCTAAAGTTATTAAATATTATATAATGTCATGTATTATAAAATGTTAATGTACTATACATCACTAAACATCATAAACATCTTTTAATATCCAAAAAGTATAGATTATTTTATCACTTTATTTTATAAAACCGACCTTCTACTAAAATTTATCATTTATATTCTTGTGTATTTATCATAAATGTACAAAAAATTACCACATTAAATGTATGTGCTAAATCTAGAATTATATGCTTTTCTGGGATACAGCTTAACATAGTAGGAAGGCACGTCTTTGAAGTCAGAATTGAACTCAAATTCTGACTCTGCAAGTTATGGTTTCTATGGCCTGAAGTAATCCTTCAAACTCGGAACCTCAGCCACCTCATCTCTAAAATGAGGTTAATAACAACCATCTTGCAAGAGTGATGAGAGATTAGAGCTCATATATAAGTGCTGGGATATAGCAAGTGTTAAATGCTTTTGCCTTTCCAAAACATATTGTTCCAAACTCATCTTTTTAGCTTTAGATGAGAAATTAATCTCTTTGTGAACACAAAAAGTATTCACAGGAACACAATGTCTCCTTGGACATTCACTTCAATACTAAAGTACTACGTACAGTTGCAAGTAAATCTAGATCTTCTCCATATTGTATTCATGTGATATGAAAATAAGACTGAATAACTCCATGTTGCCTTGTCCTTACAACACTATCAAGTTTTAAAAACAATTGAACTACATTACCATGATTACTTTTTCATAATATCAAAGAAACTGAAAACTGTGCTAATTATTCAATAAATACTTTTGAAAAAAGAGGAAAAAATTAGCTAATGTCTTTGAGACCATACTGTCAGAAATTAATGGAACAAGAAACAGAGATTTTACTATATAAAGTTCCAAAAATAACCAAAAAACTAAAAATAATAATTACCAAACACTGGGAGAAATAGGGCTAGTGTAATAAGCTAAATGTTCATCTTATATATACAGAGTAAGTCAACATTAAAGTTGAGGATTCAAGAAATGGGTTGCCTCTTTGATTTTCACATTTACAACAGAGTTATACAGATAATCATCAGAGGAAATAAAAACAGAAAAGCACCTCTGAAGGATAAACTGGGATATAGAGAAAGCTGGTGCAGAAAACCGCTTCTTTCATCTTAGATTTAAGCAAGTCTATACTATACAATTGTTACTGTGACAAATTACATTGAAAAGTACTTATAGAAATCAAAAAAAGAAATAAATCTGAGAAACCCTCAAGTACTTGGAAATTAAACAGCACAATATTAAATATCCAATGAGTCAAAGAAGAAATCACATGGGAAATTATAAAATTACTTGAACTGCGTGAAAGTGAAAAAACAATATATAAATATTGAAGCAATGCAAATTTCTACTTTGGGGAAGATGGAGTAGATGTAGTTTTCACTATTCTTCCAAGTACAACTAAAACTCCTAGGAATTATATAAATCAAATACAAGAAGACCCTAAAAGGTAGAGAGAAGAAGGCAAACTAGCTAGTGATCTCAGGACCCAAGGAATGACATGGTGATGAGTTCCCTGGACTTTCCTTTTGCCTTATTTTCTCAGATTTGGAGTTATGAGGCTGACAACCAGAAACACCAATGGGTGCAGACACAAAAAGGACTAACAAAAGCCTGCTCTCTAGCCAAAGGACCAAGAAAGGGACAGCCTAGGAATACAGAAAACTTTTGACAAAAATATCTCTGCTCCAACCAAACACCACAGAAAAAAACTGTAGTCCCACCCCCACCAACAAAAGTCAAATGGGGAATCTAGACTTCAACCTTCTCTAGGCTTTAACAAGTCACCCAAACCCACCCACTGGGATGGTGTAAAAGAAGGCCAAGTAGAGAGCCGTCTATCCCCACAGTGCCAGTAGAGACCATGTGGGGAGCCTGGACTTCCACCCTAACCAGCAATGAGTCACTTCTTTCCTTTCCCAATGGGGTAATGTCAGAGGAGGCCTAGTGAAGAGTCAGGACTTTCACCACCACCCAGTGGTAACAAGGCCATCCCCACCACGGTGTCGGTAGAGACCACATGGTGAGTCAGAAATCTCATCCCACCCAGCAGTAATAAGGAGCACCCCCATCTCGGGGTCAACAGACGCCAGGAGGGGAACCTGGACTGCTACACTCATCTGGCAGTAATAAGATGGCAGGCACCCTCTCATTCCTTTGCAGGAGCGGTGCCAGCTAAAACAAAGGTTTAAATAAGATCCAGTTTGATAAAATCATGCTCAAATATCCAGATTTCAACTGAAAATCACTCATCATATCAAGGATCAGAATGAACTCAAATTGAATGAAAAAAAAATCAACAGATTCCAACAATGAGATCATAAAAATATTAGAATGATTGCTCCAATGAGCAATTAGGAACACGCTTGAAACAAATGAAAAAACAGAAAGTCTTTCAAAAGAAATAGAAAAGTCTTATTTACCAAAGAAATAGAATATATAAGGAAGAAACAAAAATTTCAGAACCGAAAAATATAATAACCAAAATAAAAACTCAATAGATGGGCTTAACAGCAGAATGAAGGGGATAGAGGAAAATAATCAGTGAACTGGCAGATAGAACAATAGAAATTACTCAATCTGAGCAAGAGACAGAAAACTGAAAAAAATAATAACAAAAAATACAATAAAAATTAAATAAATAAAGAAATAAAAATAAAATAGTTCTCTAGGAACCTGTGGGACTATAACAAAACATCTAACATTTGTGTCACCGAAGTCCTGAAAGGACAGGAGAACCAAAAATAGGATAAAACCAAAGAAATCTACAACAAGATACATCACACTTTCAAAAACTTTTAAACATCATACTTTTGAACACCTGTGAAAACTAAAAAAGAAAAAAGTATTGAAGGCAACAAGGAAGAAAAAAATCTTACCTAAAGGAGAAAAACAATTCAACTGACAGATTTCTCATCAGAAACCACAGAGGGCCAGAATGAAGTGGCACATCTTTCAAATGCGAAAGAAGAAATGGTACCCAGAATCCTACATCCAGCAAAAACAGCCTTCAGAAAACGAAGGGAATTTGACATGCAAGACAAAAAAAAAACTGAGAAAATATGTTGCCAGCCTACCATAAAAGAATGGCTAAAGAAAATTCTCTAAACAGAAATGAAATGATGAAAGAAGGCATCTTGGAACATCAGAAAGGAAGAAATTTAAAAAATGGGTAAAATAAAATAGACTCTCCTTTTCCTCTTAAGCTTTTAAAATAAGTTTGATGGCTAAAACAAATGTCATAGCACTGTCTGATCTGGTTTTAAATGGATGCAGAGGAAATATTTAAGATGATTATGTTATAAAGAAGAAAGGGTAAAGGGAGGTAAGATTTCTACACCTCTCTGACCTAATAAAATGATGACAGCAGTAGACTGTAATAAGTTATGTACAAATAATGCAATAGCTACAACAACCACTAAAAAAGCTACATTAAAGAGATATATTCAAAAACTATAGATAAATCAAAATAGAATTTTAAAAATGTTCAAATAACCTACAGGAAGACAAAAAAAAAGAAAATAGAGAAATGAAAAACCAAGAACAAACAGAAAACAAAAATAACAGACTTAAGCCCAAACATATTAATAATAATATTAAATGTAAGTGACAAAATATACCAATTAAAAGACAGAGACTGACACATTGGATTAAAAAACATGACTCAAGTGGGTGCCAGCCCAGTGTCATAGTGGGTAAGTTCGCGCACTCTGCTTTGGCAGCCCAGGGTTTGCAGTTTCAGATCCCGGGCGCAGACCGACACACCAGTCATCAAGCCATACTGTGGCAGCATCCTACATACAAAATAGAGGAAGACTGGCAACAGATGTTAGCTCAGGGCCAAGCTTCCTCATCAAACAAACAAACAAAAAAAAAACATGACAATTGTCTTCAAGAAACTCACTTCAAATATAATGATAAAGGCAGGCTGAAAGTAGAAAGATAGAAAAAGATGTACCATGC